CGGGGGTCGGCCCCGGGCTCGACGTCCGCCCGCTCTAGCGGCCCCGACAGCCCGCGGATTCCGCGCTGCAGCTGTGCCTCCGGCCGGTCCCCTGCGCCCGCGTCCAAGCCGCCGCCGCTGCCGCCGCCGCTGCCTCCGCCGGGAGAGGAGGAAGGGAAGCAGCTACTCCGCAGCAGCGGCAGCAGCATCCCGGACGAGGAGGGGCAGGAAGCGCAGGCGCGGGGCGGGGCGGGGCGGGGCGTGGGGCCTGCGAGGGGCGGGCGGTCCGGCGCTCGCTCGCCTCCTGTCGGCGGGAGGACCGCGCGCCCTGCGAGCGGGGTCTGCCGTTGCCGGTTTCTCCTTGTATGCACCTGTCTTTGCTGTCTTGTATCCCTGCTGTTCTGTTTTCACTGCTCTCCCCCCCTTTTTTTTCTGTCGACTCTGTTTTCTTCTCTTACTTCTTCGTCCTCCCTTCTTTCCCTTTATCACCCCTCCTTTTTCTTCTTTCACTAAATCCAGTCCTCAAACACCATGACTGTTTATTAGCCGTCTCTCCCCCAAACCTGTTACATTCTCAGTATAACGTCTCCCAAATTACTGCTGCAAACTCAAATGTTGCCGGGACTCTCGCAAGTCCCCCGAGCCAGGCCTTGTCCGTCACACCTTGCCACCTGGAGGCTCCTGGGCCTGGGCCCAAACACAAGCCAACCCCCTTTCTCCCCATGGTAGGTAAACTTCTTCGTCTTTCCTTGTCATGTCTGTCTTTCATAGGAAGAAATGTCGTGTCTTTTCCATAGAAGACACACGAAATCAGGTATTTTTAGCCCAGCTTTGCTGCCTCACTCAGAGTCCGGAAGTTTTTATTCCATTTAACTTTTGATATAAATAAATGGCATGCTTCTTTGGGGGAGAGAGTGAGACTTCAAACAGTAGTCAGAAACTCCAAGATTGACACTACAAAACTTCAGGAATTATGGACTCAGGCAGGGTGTTTTGACATTTCTATTTGAAAGGATTTAAGGATCCAGAAAATCGCTGCGAGGGATCCCTTGCCAGGGATTTGTTTAGTAAATTCCTTAGCGTGAACTTGAGCGCCTCAGAACACAGGGTTCTAAATATGATAGGACCTGGCGCATTTGCTGGGAATGATCAGGTAACCCACCGAATTTCAGCTTTATTTAGAACTGGGTTTGGTAATGCATAGTACGTGTGGATGTCACCCTACAAACCTGATTTGTAAAAATCTTACATTGCCCACAAATTAATTGGAAGTTTACATTTATACAAGAGTCCTTAGCTTTCCAAAAGCAATCACTATTTTTTCTTTCTTTTTTTTTTTACTAGTTCTTAGGACACTTAAAATATGATTGTATCTCTATAATTTTATTTTATTTTTTATTCTTTAAAAACTTTATTTATTTAAAAAAATTTTTTTTCAACATTTATTTACTTTTGAGAGACGGAGAGAGACAGAGTATGAGCGGGGGGAGGGTCAGAGAGAGGGAGACAGAATCTGAAGCAGGCTCCAGGCTCTGAGCTGTCAGCACAGAACCTGCCGTGGGGCTCGAACCCACAAACTGTGAGATCATGACCTGAGCTGAAGTCAGACACTTAACTGACTGAGCTACCCAAGCACCCCTATTTTCTATTTAT